AAAGCTCCCTCTACACTGTCCCCATCAAACACTCCGAGGACAGGGACTGCACAGGATTAGATACAGAGTAAAGCTCCCTCTACACTGTCCCCATCAAACGCTCCTAGGACAGGGACTGCACAGGGTTAGACACAGATTAAAGCTACATTCCCAGGACAGGGCCGCACACCTCTAAATGAACTTTAGGAAAACAAAGGAGATGCTGCCATACTGACTAAGGCAGTGCAGGGTGATCCTGGCAGTGCCATTGCTGAAGCATTAGTCATGCTCTGGCTGAAGGGTCATATCTGTGAGCCATACAGGTGAGTATTTTTCTCCTGGGGGACATGAGCCACCCTGCATTGAGTATTCTGATTCTGGGCAATTTGGCCGAGTTGTGAACTGGCTTTGGGAAAGTGTACCGCCCTGAAACTCTCCTTGCTGTGTCGCCGAGCCCTCCCCACACCAAATCGCCAAGCAATTTGTCCGGTCAGAAATCTCCCTCACACTCCCCCTCCATTCTGTGAAAGTTGTACCAAGCCGTTAAAGGTCCAAAACCTGCCCGCTTGCAAAGATTAAACAAGTCCCCAGTCCCTGTCCTCCAGCTGGCGATGAAACTTACATGTGTGTAACTGTTGATAGCCTTCTCATACTCCCCCAGCATGTACAGGCGGTCCCCCTCTGACTTGTAGGTGAGGTACGAACAGACTGGACCCGTCACAACATCCTCATCATCGTCAGCCATCGCTGTGTCTCTGTCTGACTTTGTCTCTCTGTGAACGGTCTTTTTGCTTTTGCCTGGGTTTTTCTCTCTCCCTGTCTCTGCCGATCTCTCTCTCTCCCTCTGCTTTTTATTTGTTCTCTCGGCCTATCTCTGTTTTTATTTCTCTCCTTCTCTGTCTCTGCTTCACTCCCTCCTTCCCTGCTGTTGGGAATGGATTCAATGCCCGAGCTTCTCGCGGTTACAGTCTGTTTGGAATGTAACCAGTCAGTCTCCTAGCAACCCCCTAACAACCAGACGCAGGGACACCGCTTTAAAGGGAACATTTCGCTTTCTAGACGAAGTGATTTCTATTTCATTTCAATCGTCTGATGCTAATAGTTTAGAATGGCACCCTCCCCTCCCCAGTGCCGCGCATTTGAACATAAGAAATAGCAGCAGGAGTCGGCCATTCAGCCCCTCCATTCTACCTGCCCCACCATTCGACATGACAAAAGCAACTGCGGATGCTGGAGATCTGAAATAAAAATAGAGACTCAGCAGGGCAGCAATATCTGTGGAAGTAGAAACAGGGTTAACAAGAGTCTATAAGATCATGGCTGATTTGCCCCAGTCCTCAACTCAGCTTTTCTGCCAGCTTCTCATTATCTTCAACTTTCTGATATTTCAAAAATCTCTGTACTTCCTCTTTAAACACTTTCAGTTATTTAGACCCCACAACACTCTGGGGTACCAAATTCCAGACATCCACTATCCTCTGGCAGAAGAAATTTTTTCAGATCTCAGTCTTAATTGAGCATCCCCTTATTCTGTAACCGTATCTCCTAGTTTGAGATTCCTTAACTCATGGAAACATCTTCTCAACATCTACATTATCAAGTCCCCTTAGAATCTTGTATATTTCAGTAAGATCACCCCTCATTCTTCCAGACTCGAATGAATAAAGGAATAACCTGTTTTCCCATTCTTGATCAGTCGTCTACCCCATCCTGGAATCAGTCAAGTGAACCTCTCTTGAAATGCCTCCAAGACTAGTATATCATTTTGTAAATACAGGGACCAAAACAGTACACAGTACTTCAGGTGTGGTCTCACCAACACCCTGTACAGTTGTAACAAGACTTCCCTATTTTTAAACTCCAACTCATTAGCAATAAAGACCAAAATTCTGTTTGACTTCTCATTTACCTGCTGCACCTACATGTTAATTTTGTGCACAAAAACACACAGATCCATTTGTGCTGCACTGTTTTTTGGAGTCTGCCTTTTGATTTTTCCCACTAAGGTGCACTACCTCACACTTTCCTAAATTAAACTCCATTTGCCAGGGTTTTGCTCATTCACTCAACCTATCTACATCCTTTTGCAGATTCCTTATGTCCTCAGCACATCATGCCCTCCCACCTATTTTTGAATCATCATCAATTTGGAAACATTACACTCTCCCCCCTTCAATATCATTAACATAGGTAGTAAATAAGTAAGGCCCTAGGTCTGATTTTTTTTCACTGGAGCATAGGAGATTGAGAGGTGACCTATAGAGGTTTATAAAATAATGAGGGGTATAGATAGGGTGAATGGTAGATGTCTGACATCTCCACTAGGGTGGGGGATTCAAGTCTCGGGGACATATTTTTAAGGTGAGAGGAGAAAGATTTAAAAAAGACAAGTGTGCAATTTTTTTTTACTCAGAAAGTGGTTCATGTGTGGAATGAACTTCCAGAGGAAGTGATGGATGCAGGTACAGTTACAACGTTTAAAATACATTCAGGTAAGTACATGAATAAGAAATGTTTGGAGGGCTATGGGCTTAGCATTTCCTATTTTCTACTTTAAACTGAGAAGATCTGCAATATTTAACTTCTAACTTTGTTCTTTCTTTCTATCTTGTTCTTAAGATTCTGCACCTAGTTACCTGTACCTAAGACGGCACCTTGTGTGTTGACATTATCCACTTTTCACTGTACTCTTGTACAATCAAAATCAAATCAAAAAATCAATTGTAGGCATGTAGGACTAGTTTAGTTTGGAATTATGGTTGGCAAGGACAGGTTGGACCAATGGGTTTGTTTCTGCTCTGATTGAGTCAATGACTCTGTGATCCCTCTGGCACTCCATTAGTTATTACTTTCCAGCCAGAAAAAGACCCACTAATTCTGATTCACTCTCTTCTGTGTGTTAACTGATACTCAATTCAGGTTACCACATTATGCTCAATAGTTTGAGGTCCTATCTTGTGCTATAACCTTTGTTGTCTAATTCCTCCTTAAAACAAGTTAGACAACTCCAAACAGAATGTTACAAATGTATTTGCCCAGGTGTCCTACAATATTGACATGAAAGAGAAGGGAACTCCTCAATGATCTAGCCACAGCATATGGGGCAAGAGTGTCAATGATCACTGCTCTTGATTTGGCTAATTTGGACAATAAACTCAGGATCTTTACCCAACAAGTCCTAGAAGGATTGAATACAGACAATCAACAGGACACCATGGGGTAACTAGCAGAGAATCAGGCTGGCCACCACTCAGTGTCTATACCGGAGGGTCACACCAAGACGATTAACCAGATCATCCAGGGCCAAATCGGGGATGATGGTTAACAGCAAAACCATGTCCTGTGCAGCATCTACGTTTGATTAAGCAGCTGAGACAGCACCTCTGACAGACTAGCGAAGGGAAAATCCCATCCTCGATCAGTAAAGAACAGCTTGAACATTTGTTCCAGGAGAAGACCTATAGTAACATCTCTGATTGTCAGTTGCAACAGCTCATCAAGATGTGGTATAATTACAACCACAAGGATATTCTCGGCGAGGTGCTGGGTTTGGTGCTAGGAATTACAATCATTCCTAGTGACAAAGTTGGGTTGAGGACATTTGAAGTCAAAAATATTGGAATTTAAAAAAAATTATTTGGATGGGTTACCATGACACCCTGCCATACACTATGGTGAAACAGGGCATATTGATATGGACCACTCTAAGTAAACGCGAGCAAACAGGACATACCATCATATGACCCATTATCTGTCATCCACAAATTCAGCCATTCTCACATCTAGCTGTAGTCCTAACTGCACTCACCTTGATATATCTCAGGATACTGGTGATTAAGATTGCAGGTTGGGAAAGACAGATATGCCAAGAGGTTGCTCACTCATTATGAATAATAATGTACACACACACAGGGGCTTTAAGGTGGATGGAACTCTCAGGGTTATCACTATTGTCACTTCCATTTGCTCTGATGACTGAATGTTGTCTATGCACTTCAATCTTGTATGGATTATTGCAACAGGAGTTTCCCTTTATTATATATGCAATTATAGGATAGGCTTGACCAATGTACACAATGGCTTTCACATGAACATGTTGGCCCTCCTGACAACAAATATAACCAACTTTTACAATTAGGTTTGAACTTCATTCACATAAGCTTTCTTCCATTCAAAACAAGAGAGATGTAGCAGCCTCCTGGCTGCTAAAACACAGCTAGATTGCTAACTTGGCCAAACAGCCAACGGATGTTGGACATATTGGCCAAGTAAAACTCTGGAATCACAAAACCCATACACCAGACACAGTGCAAACACAGCAGCCAGATGCTAATGATATTAGCGTAAGGGAAAAGACAACAGTCTCATGGACAGACATACCCCCAACAACTTATCCACCAAACAAAGTAGGGCCCAGACAGAAAGGCACCAAGTCCTGCTACACAAGGAAACTAACAGTAGCAAGCCATCCAAATGATTATAGGAGCAAATTACTGCAGATGCTGGAATCTGTGCTGAAAATAAAAAAATTGCTGGAGATCACAACAGGTCAAGCAGCATCCATGGAGACAGAACAAGCTAACGTTTCAAGTCTAGATGACTCTTCATCAGAACTTTCCTATCCATGTACCCATCCAAATGTTTTTTGCATGTCTTATTTCCTAATGATTCTGACTTGCAGTTTGTAGTCTGTTATATGTGATCTGGGGAGGTCTTGAGGTGAGTGTGTTTATTAACAGTAATATTGGGTTTATAATTTACCAAGTGCATGTTATCAAACAAATTATTTTGTATTAACTGATAATATCCAGATTAATCTAGTAGAAAGCATAGATTGTCTGTTGGAAGAAATAACAGACATTCAGAAAAGCTCAACACGATTAAACAGAGTCAGAATTTACTCAACACCAGGTTATAGTCCAACTATATAGTTTATTTGAAATCACAAGGTTTTGGCACGTAGCCCCTTTGTCAGGTGATGTGAGAGGTTTGTACACAAACACAGAATTTACAGGCACAGAGGTCAAGGGCAGAGAGATCAAAAGGTCATTCTAACGGTGTGAGTAAAGTGTCAACAGCTGAATAACAAATGAAAGGATGCCCTATAATCCAATTAAATGAGGCAGAGAAATGGTGCTGGAGACAAACTAAATAACTGGAATAATACAATAGGTATAAGAGTCGCATGCTGAGGGTCTAAGCAACATAGTAAGTAATCCAAAACTGGACATGCTAATTAAGGTACAGAAGTCATAACAATGTATTAAGGTGATGGTGTCAAAACAGGACAGTAAGGAAGATTTTACCGATACGCAACAGTGTGATGGGGTCACATGTAGCGCGACATGAAGCGAAGGTTGCAGTTGAGGCCATCTTCATGGGTATGGAACTTGGCTATCGGTTTCTGCTCGGCGATTCTGCGCTGTTGTGCATCTCAAAGTCTGCCTTGGAGGATGCTTACACGAAGATTGGAAACTGAATGTTCTTGACCGCTGAAGTTTTCCCTGACTGGGAGGGAACATACCTGTCTGCTGATTGTTGCACAGTCTCCATTCATCTGTTGTCATAGTGTCTGCATCATCTTGCCAACATACCATGCCTTGGGGCATCCTTGCCTGCAGGATATAAGATGAACAACATTGGCCGAATCACGTGATTATCTACTGTGTATGTGGTGGGTGGTGTTCCCATGTGTGATGGTAGTGTCCTTGTCAAAGATCTGACATGTCTTGCAGAGGTTGCTGTGGCAGAGTTGTATAGTATTGTGGTCGATGTTGTCCTGAAGGTTGAGTAGTTTGCTGAATGATGGTCTGTTTAAGGTTTGGCAGTTGTTTGAAGGAGAGAAGTGGAGGCGTGGGAAAGATCTTAGCGAGATGCTCGTTGTCATCAATGACATGTTGAAGGCTGCAAAGAACATGGCGTAGTTTCTCTGCTCCGGGGAGGTACTGGGCAATGAAGGGTATTCTATTGGTTATATCCTGTGTCTGTCTTCTGAGGAGGTCATTGCGGTTTTTTGCTGTGGCTCATTGGAACTGGCAATCAATGAGTTGAGCATCATATCCTGTTCTTATGAGGGCATCCTTCAATATCTTTAGGTGCCTGTTGCATTCCTCCTCATCTGAGCAGATTCTGTGTATGCACAGGCTTCCATCCTAAACATATTAAAAAATCCATCCCCTATGGACAAGTCCTGCGCATACATAGGATCTGCTCAGATAAGGAGGAACACAACGGACACCTGAAGATTTTGAAGAACACCCTCATAAGAACAGGATATGATGCTCAACTCATTGATCACCAGTTCTGATGTGCCATAGTGAAAAACCACAAGGATGTCCTCAAAATACAGACACAGGATACGAAAAATAGAGTATCCTTCATTGTCCAGTACTTCCCTGGAGCAGAGAGACTACACCATGTTTTGTGCAGCCTCCAACATGTCATAGATGACGATGAGCATCTCACCAAGATCTTCTCCACGCCTCCACTTCTCGCCTTCAAACACTGCCAAACCTTAAACAGACCATCGTTCGCAGCAAACTGCCTAGCCTTCAGGACAACATTGACCACAACACCACACAAACCTGCCACAGCAACCTCTGCAAGACATGTCAGATTGTTGACATGGACACTACCGTCACACGTGGGAACACCACCCACCATGTATACGGCCGATACTCATGTGACTTGGCCAACATTGTCTATCTTATATCCTGCAGGCAAGGATACGCCGAGGCATGGTCTATTGCCGAAGCCATGCAGACGCTACAACAATGGATGAATGGACAGCATGCAACAATAGCCAGACAGAAATGTTCTCTCCCAGCTGGGCAATACTTCAGTCGCCAAGGACATTCAGCTTCTGATCTTCGGGTAAGCGTCCTCTGAAATACACAACAGTGCAGAATCTGATAGACATGTTCCATACCCATGAAGACAGCCTCAACCGTGATATTGGGTCCATGTAGCGCTACTTGTGACCGCACCACACTATTCTGTATTTGTAAAATCTTCCTTACTGTGCTGTTTTGACAGCATTACCCAGATAAATTGATATGATCTCTCTACCTTAATTAGTTTCATAGAATCTCTAGACACTGTGGGCAATTTAGCATGGCCAATCCGCCTAACCCGCACATCCTTGGACTGTGGGAGGAAACCAGAGCACTCAGAGGAAATCCAGGCAGACACGGGGAGAATGTGCAAACTCCACACAGTCGCCCAAGGCTGGAATTGAACCTGTGTTCCTGGCATTGTGAGGCAGCAGTGCTAACCACTGATATTCTGTGCAGTTTTGGATTACTTATTATTTTGGTTAGATCCTCAACATGCGACTCTTAGACCTATTATATTATTCCAGTCATTTGACTTGACTCCAGCACCACCTTATTTTTAATTTTTTGTAATTATCTCTCTGCCTCATTTAATCGGATTATACATCATTCCTTTACTTGTTGTTGACACTTTACTCACACCGTTTGTGCTAACTTTTGATCTTTCTGCCTTTGATCTCTTTGCCAATAAATTCTGTGTCTGTGTGCACCCTCTCACATCACCTGACAAAGGGGCTACACTCCAAAAGCTTGTAATTTCAAATAAATCTGCTGGAATATAACCTGGTGTATAAATTCGGACTCTGTTTAATCATTTTGAGCTTTTCTGAATGTCCTGTTATTTCTTCCAACAGACAATCTATGCTTTCTACTGGATTAATCTGGATATTATCAGTTAATACAAAATAATTTGTTTGATAACATGCACTCAGTAATTTATAATCCCAATATTACTGTTAATATACACACTCACCTCAAGACCTCCCAGGTCACATCTAACACACTACAAACTGCAAGTCAGAATCATTAAGAAATAAGACATTCAAAAAACATTTGGACAGGTACATGGATCGGAAACTTTTAGAAGGATATGGGCCAAATGCAGGCAAACAGGACTAGTTTCAATCTAGGAAACATGGACAAGTTGGGCTGAAGTGCCTGGTTCCGTGTTGTATGACTCTAAGACAGAATCAAGCAAAAGGCAAGTAACAGTAAATTGATATATTCCACTGAAGTCACTGGACAATAAAACAGTTGAAAGCCTTATTCAATCCACTGAGATAATTTGAACTACTTTTTCATGATAACAGTGCAATGAAATCAGTGAATTGAGTAAAAAGTTCCCATCTACCTTTCTCATCTGAGGTCTGAACATGAAGATATATATTAACATCAACTACTGATACACAGGCTGAAATTTCTCCTGCAATAGAAATTCCAAACTATTAGACCCATCATTAAGCAATTGATCTTTCTCAGCAGGTAATATGAAACTGATAATCCTCTATCCTGGATTATCTGATAATCCTCTATCCTGGATGAGGTCATTGTTCGATCCAAATGTTGTAACAATCTGTGAGCATTTTCCAAGGTCCAGGGCAACGTGCTGAGGGATGCACTATAGCTTGGGGCAGCTGCTGCCAAGGCACAGCGGGGAAAGACCACAATCTAAGGTCTTTCTACTGAAGTTAAACGGGGTCTGTTAATTCATCGGCGCCTCAAATATATGTAAATATAGTCTTGCACAAGTAAGAAACATCTTTGGTTTGTTTGCTGCATAGAGTCAAACTCCAATATGAAACTTCGTGTTCTAAGGAAGGTTCTCCGGACCCAAAAATTTAGCTCTGATTTCTCTTCCCAGATGCTGCCAGACCTGCTGAGCTTTTCCAGCAACTTCTATTTTTGTTTCCAATATGTGTTTGTTTCTTCATATGCTAATGTACGAAACCGAACTGCTTTAGTGATTTTATACGTATATAAAGATATTTTTATGAATAAAATATTTTTTGAAATAAAGGGTGAAATTTAACACAAAGGAACTCATTTGCACCAAGAAGACCCTTTGATCTATAAGTAGAGGCAGATAGTAATACAGTTAAGGAAGTTTTGTTGAACTTTATAAGTCATTTCTTTTGTTCTTGTTGGAATATTGTGGCCAATTGCATAATTTCTGATATTTTAGTGAGGATGTCAGAGCCTTGTATAGTGACTAGGACAGTGCCCAGGATGAACGATTACAATTACTGAGAAAAGATTGAGAAACTGGGGTTGTTCTCTTATAGCAGAGAGATTAAGGGGAAATTTATAGATCTTGTCAAAATCATGAAGAGTTTTGATAAAGTAAACGAGGAGTAGAAAAAATTTACACAGCGCGTTTTTGCGATGAGGAATGCATTGCCTGAAAGAGAGATGAAGAAAATTCATTTATAATTTTCAAAAAGTAATCGAAGAAATATTTAAGTATGTTTCATAGAGACAGCATAATGAGTTGAATTGCCTCCTGCATTATTATTTGCATACATTGTCGAATCAACATGTTCAGGGATGTTATTACACCATTCTGGAGCAGTTGGGACTTGAACCCGGATCTCCTGGTCCAAACGTAGGGATATAATTCTGCATTATTGTAGGGTGATTTGTAACTATGCACAGGGTGGGTCACGCAACGCACAGGGTTGTAGTTTGAGAAAAGCATTGTATTTTGGCTCATACGGATATAGAGACTACAGCCTCCAGCATGCAGCGAGGCCGGATTTTTACGTTTCCTTGGGTGTTGTTTCTTGCACAGCCGCGGGCTGTTGTAGTTTGCAGAGTGATCCTCAAATTGGCTCATAGGCTGAATCAGACTACAACCCCCAGCATGCAATGGGTCGCCCCCCCCGTTATGCAGGCGCATTGTGGTGGAATGGGGCGGAGCCGGGAGGTCAGGCGGTGAGGCCGGACCTTCACGTGATGCGGTATGAGCCAATGGACGAGCTGGGATGGCCGATCAGCAGATGGTGAGGCGAGAGGCGGAGAGTCGAGGCCGAGAACCTCATGACGGAGCCGGAGAGAGAGCCCGACTGCCCCTTGACGGAGCCGGAGAGAGAGCCCGACTGCCCCTTGACGGAGCCGGAGAGAGAGCACTCTGACGGAGCTGCTGAGGAGGCCGCAGGTGAGGCTTGGGGATGAGGGAAGGGGAGCTGGGCCGAGGGTGCAGGGCTGTGCGGGTCGCCGAGTCATTCAGGTTGAGGGAGACGGTAGCTGCCGCCATGTGCTTCACAGCATCAGCACCGAGTGGGCCGAATAGAAACCGGCTCCTGAGTTGTATTTTTAAAAAGCCGCAGCCTCCCTGTGGTCAGCAGGTCCGGTCACTACATTATCCTCTTTCCCGGGTGTTTAGGAGCTGTTTCCAGTCTCTCCCAGCTCACACTTCATGGTAATGGACAAAAGAACCAGGGGACAGGACAAGTGGACGGAATTATTTTCACTCTGAGCTGTACTGCCCTTAAGGGCGTTGGAAGCCAATTCCATAATAACTTTAAAAGGGAATTGGATAAATAGTTTGGTGGGAAAGATTTCCAGGTCCATAGGATGAGTGAGACTGCCTTCAAAGTGCTGCTGTAGCTGCTGTGGGCTTTTTTTAAAATGTTGTTTAGTTGTAATTGCCTCAGTCTTCTCCTTGATAATCATTTCTGTGTTTTATCGGGAACAAAAACAAAGTTGCTGGAAAAGCTCAGCAGGTCTGAACAACTTCCTTGTTCTGAGGAAGGGTCATCGGACCCGAAACGTTAACTCTGTTTTTTCCTTCACAGATGCTGCCAGACCTGCTGAGCTTTTCCAGCAACTTTGTTTTTGTTCCTGATTTACAGCATCCGCAGTTCTTTTGGTTTTTATTGTGTTTTATCGCTTGTGCGGTTAAATTTTCCGTAGATTTAGAATCCAATCACGCCCTTAATGCAATTTTTTTCTCCCCCCACCCAAGAGAATCTGCCTTTTTTCACTTGTAGTTAAGACATTGGAATCAATCCTATTGGTAGCCAAATTTGATAGTGATGTGACCATTTAAAGTTATTTTGTTTAATATTTGATCAAAAGTTTATCTTCCATCGTGCATGTGACTGATGCATCAATGTGCCTCAATGGGGGCATCTTGTGTGTAATAACTCATTAAGGGTGCTACTCCACTCTAGAGCCTCAAAATTCCACCACCTCAGATTAAAGCGGAGATTCCAGTGCTATTTTAGAAAGGCCATCTTTTGGATAAGATTTAATAATATGCCCTCTCTTGCCTTTTATACTGCTTTAGAAACTGCATCCAACTTCCTCCCCATTGTTCTGGCAATATCTATTTCTCATCCAAATCACTGAAACAGATTATGTAGCAATTATTATCTGGTCATTTATGGGAGTTTTTTTTGTGCAAATTGCCTGCTGTGCTTCCTACAGTGCAAAAATGACTGCACTTCTAAAGTAGGGTGCTTTGAGATGCCTGGAATGTGGAAAAGGTACAGTATAAAAGACAGTATATCCAATTTGTGCAAGGATTAAACAGACAGTCAAGCCATGCCAAGTGAGCAAATTAACATTTTATATTCTGGCTGAATATGTTTGAGAAAAGTGCCCATGGAAATATTTAATTAGCGTTGGATCCAACTACTAGAAATCATCTGCAGATAAAACTGAGCAAAAGAGCAGCCATGAATGTTTTATGCTGCAGAATGTTGGGTAAGCAAGCATTTTTGTGAGGGGCCTCCTTTGTTTGGAAGCAGGCACGTCAGTTATGCAGGACAGTATGCATTAAAAAAGTTTTATTCTTTTAGTTTACAGTATGTGTTAACGCTGATCTGTCAGAGCTACCAAGTAAATTATGATCAACTTTGTTAAAGGGAAATAAGTAGTGCATCATACAGGCTGACGGCATTTGTTCTTTTAGAATTCTAGTGTGTGCACAATTGGAACATCTAGTTCTCTGGAATCAGTAACCTGAGTAGGTTATACTCTGAAGCCCAGGGAAGTTCATGGAGCTACTGGAAATGGTTCTGTAATCACAAAGTATAGATGACCCTTGACAAGAAGAGAGCATATTTTCATTGATTTTAATAACGGGTTGTTGCCTGGTTGTATCGGTATGTAGTCATAGCTGAAATGAGGAGCTGTACACATTGTAAATATACAATGGGGTGACATGGTGGCTCAGTGGTTAGCACTGTTGCCTCACAGCGCCAGGGACCCGGGCTCGATTCCAGCCACGGGCGACTGTCTGTCTGTGCAGAGTTTGCACAATCTCCGTGTCTGTGTGGGTTTCTTCCGGGTGCTCCGGTTTACTCCCACAGTCCAAAGATGTGCAGGCTAGGTGGATTGGGCATGCTAAATTGCCCGTAGTGTTCAGGGATGTGTAGATTAGCTGGGTTATAGGGGAAGGGTCTGGGTGGGATGCTCCAAGGGTTGGTGTGGACTTGTTGGGCTGAAGGGCCTGTTTCCACACTGTAGGGATTCGATTCGATTCTATTCTATTCTATTCTATGAAGACATAGAACTGTCTCTGAGAGGAATTCGAAAATCAGCAGGGAGTCAATACTGGTGTTTGTTTTGGAATTGTTTCCTGCCTGAAGGTGCTTTCTTTTCTTTTTCCCTGCCAATGTTTAGTATTTCATGAAGTCATGTGGCAGAAATCTAGTGCATTTGCTAGCTGCTTTGCAATCCTTTTGGAATGAAATGCACCCCAATCTCTTTCTGTGTTTAGCTCGCAACCTATATAACTTAATTTAGTATTGGAGTGGTAAGTGACCCAGAAGTTATTATTGACTTAGCTTTGTAAGAATTCCTTCTTTTATTGTTAAGTGTTTATTCATGTGTATGTTGTGGTATAAAAGGGCTATATACAATAAGATTGTCCATTATAATACAAATTTTCGTTCTTCCTATTAATGTTTATTCCACCACACAGAATTGACAACAAAATCAGTTGTTTCAATAGCTCCGATGACTTTGAGAATGTCTGATTCTTTGTTTAATTTGTGTAGTTTTCTCCCTCACTTATAACCAGGAGAAGCCATACTTCACGCAGCCACAGCATTTGTATGTCAGAATATGTTGTGCAGCTCATATGACTTCCTAAAGATTTCGATCGTTTACAAGGCACAAGTCTAGAGTGTGATCCAATACTTTCCATTTGTCTAGTTGGATGTAGCTTCAATAACACTTGCAAAGGGGAGGCAATGGCATAGTGGTCATATCACAGGGCCAGAGCCCCAGACTAATGGTCTAGAGACATAGGTTCAGATCTCACCATGGCAGATGGTTGAATTTGGGGAAAAAAGTGCTATCTTAATTATGACCATACAACCACTGCCAATTGTCATAAAAACCCATCTGAGTCACTAATGTCCTTTAGTGGGGTAGATCTCTGCCATCCTTGCCTGGTTTGGTCTGCATGTGACTCTAGACCTACAGTAGTGTGGTTGGCTCTTAAAAATGCCCTCTGGGCAATCGGTTGGAAAATAAATGCTGGCCTGATGGCCCAATAAAAGGTGCCTTCCTACCTCTGAATGAATAAACAAGTACTTCAGCCCAAAACAATCTGCTTGGACAGCACTTCATTGACTAACATAAAAATCTGCTCCCTTCAGCACTGGCACATCATGAGCAAGATGCCAGTGTTTCTTTGACAGTGCCTCCTAACCCTTGACCCCTGCTATCTGGAAGGTCAAGGCAATAAGTACATGGGCACATCACATTCAACAACATACCTTCCAGACTTGGACATATATCATTATTTCTTTATCTTGGCTGCGTTAAAATTCATATCAGATGTACCATGATTTTACTAATCCTGCTCAATGTTTGTATGCATCTAACTACATCTTGGAGTGCTCTCATCTTATCAGCTGCTGCATTTCAAGAAGGTGGCCTATCATCACCTTTCTCAAGCGCAGCTAGGAATCAAAAGTATTCCCAGACTTACCAGTGATGCTCACATCCTGAAGAATGATTGCACAGTGGACAGTTCAGTTCTTTTTTTTTTGAGCTTTCTTGAAATTTTGTTCCCTACCTTGCAACTTCTCGTCTTCTCTCTACTCCCTGAGATGTATAGCGCACATATCAATTTTTATACTCAGTGCCTGAAGACATGTTGTAGCTGTGTAAAACTTCAGGCCACATTTGGAGTACCCTGTGCAGTTCTGGTCACCACACTATAGGAAGGATATGGAGGTTTTGGAGAAGGTAAATCCCTTTTGCACCAGAACGTTGCCTGGATTGGAGCATTTGTTATAAGGAGAGATTGGACAAACTTGGATTGTTTTAGTGAGAGCATCGGAGGCTGAGGGACAACCTGACAGTGTATAAAATTGAGGTATGGATGGGGCGGATAGTCAGAGTCTCTTTCCCAGGGTGGAAATGTCAAATATTAGGGGGAACAGACTTAAAATGAGATGGGGGAAAGTTTAAAGGAGATGTGCAAGGTAAGTTCTTTTTTGCACAGTGTTTGGTGCCTGGAACGCACTGCCAGGGAACATGGTAGTAGTAATATGATAGTAACATTTAAGAGGCATTTAGACAAGTTACACGAGCAGCCAGGTAATAGAGGGATATAGACCATGTGCAGTCAGATGGGATTAGTTTAGAATGGCATCGCGATTAGCGTAGACATGGTATTCTATGTTCTAAGTGCTGAAACATTTCACTGGTGCAAAGTTCTCTGAATGCTGACAACTTCAAGAACTCTGAAGAGGTAGAATTTTCAGTGTTCAGGAGTCCTTGGATTCTGGCTTGATGCTGTGTCCTTGGGTCTGATTTTTTTTTCCTGTGAATTTTGTGTACCCCGACCAACGTTTTCTGTACAAAGTGTTTCTGTCTGAGAATTTGGCTGTTTTGTGCTTGTATATTTGTTACTGTACACATTTAAAAATTGTCAATTTGAAATCTATTTTACAGTTTGATTTGCATTGCACTTAAAAATACAGAAACTAATCTTGAACCTTAAAGCTAGATAATTTGCTAGCCATGTATGTAACCTTAATTTTTTAAAAATTCCTTAAAAGTACTTAAGGAAATGGCTCAGGACTATGGATATGTTGGTAGTTCTCTTTCAAGATTATATAGACTCTCTATCAGTTCCTGTGGACTTAAGGGTAGCTAATGTAACCTCACTACTTAAAAAAAGGAGGTGGA